TGAACTTCAAGCAAATCAACGACTACTTCTCTTATCAGGAACAATTTCTTGTTATTCAACCAATGATCAACGAACAGAATATCGATCAATGGATTTGATTATTTTTCATTCTCCGATAATATGCGAACTGAATTCATCGAGTATCGCTTATACATGGGCAGATGAAGATGAACTACGTTACTTAAACTCTGAAAACAATGAAAATCAAGTTTCAGGAAGAAATAGTTGTACCAATTTAGTTGAAGCGTTTTACCCTTTGTACTTAGGCGACTCTATCGAATTTACCCCGCGACGACATTCAGGATCGATGACACGTCTGGTTGAAAATATAAGTAATTTACAATTCATTCCAACTGAAATAGATATCAACAACGAACAAGATCTCCCTATGCACATCTATAATTGACTTGGCCCTATCTATTTTTCGAAACAAGTCAAAGATAAACTGATTTACCTTTAATTTTTCATTCTCTCTTATATATTTCACATCCCTCTGAAGCAATCGATTAAACAATTCTTATCGCAAATGAACAAACTCTCAAGTTTTTCAGTTCCCAATTAAGACCACACCTCCACATATTGTAATAGAGATTGCTGACGAAATAGCAGAAAAAATACTGCGAAAAATAACGTAAAAGAAAAGCTCAATTCCGCGAAATAAACGAAATATTTTGCTTGCAAATTTATATCAGTCATGACGCAGACCGAATAACTGAGAGTGGGTCGCTTTCTTTCCGTTACGAAGACTTACGCATGATGTTCTTCGAGATTATCTCTCACTTCTAAGATGTTTCGTTACTTTTTCCCACTTTTGAAAATATTTTCAAAAAGATCAAACAAAGTTTTAATTCTTGCCTCGCTCGATGACAGAACAGATTTCTTTCTTTTTCATAAACTTCTTCTGATCTTGGAAACGTTTAGTCATGTAATGCAAGGTAGAATCTATTTCACCGTTCCTATCAACCTGATCACCTTTGGCAACAAGCGATCTCATCATTAGTAAACACCGACGCTACCGAGTAGTTTTTAGATATTTGTTTTGACATTGATGATCTAACGAATGAACTTAACTCTGCTTATGATTTTCTGGTAAGCACCCAGGTTGACTTTTGCATAAAAATCAGCTGAAAAGTGGCAGACTATTTGGAGTTTATTGTCAAATCATATTTATTGATTCGACTTTAAGATCCAGCCAGGTTTAATCAATAACACAACTATATTTTTAGGATTTCGTTAGGATCATACTTCAGTTTTCTGGATTGCGTGGCAACTACACTGAATAGTCACCAGATTACATCTTTGGATTATCAGAGAGACGTCAATCAGAGTATTATGTTGGAAAATGAAAATGGATCTATCGAAGGTCGGAAGTGAAAGATGAAACGAAGTACGGATTAGTCCTACGAAGTAAATACGTATACTATCGAATAAGATGATTCGCGCTGGAGATATACTGATCTGAACAATGATGGACGGTATAATTTTGTCATTGCCAATCAAAGAACAGATAGTATAAATGTGTTTCTTGGATTTGATTATACCAAGTTTCAAAATCAAGAGACTTATTCAGTTGAAAATATCACAGGACCGTATGATGTTGTTGTTCATGATTTCAATCAGGAGGATTGTGTTGATATTGCGGTAGTTTTTTCGAAAACCGACAATTTAGTTATCCTTCTCGGGAAAGGTGATGACAGTTTTGTTGTCTCCATGTCTTATCACACTGGAGAGAACACAGTGCCATCTATGATTACTGTGAATGATGGCAACAATGATCGGCAAAAACATATCATTGTTGTGAATTGTGGAACCAATACTATTAGTGTTTTTCTCAGCCATGGCAATGGAATATTTGATCCTATGATATTATCTTCAACTGGAGCAGATTCGGTCCCTTATTTTGAAGCCATCGCTGACGTTGACAATGATGGTATAATAGATGCTGTTTCAACGAATTCCGGATCCAACACCACAGGAATTCTTCTTGGACATAACAACGGAAGTTTGACTCTTCTGACTACATATCCAACTGGAGATTCTTCTGCTCCAACTGCAGTAGTCGTTAATGATTTAAACAATGACGGTTTTCTCGATTTTTTCGTGTGTAATTTTGACACGAGTAACATAGGTATTTTTCTCGGCAATGGAAATGCAAGTTTCTCAACTCAAGTAACTTACTCCACCTGTTATCGGGGTTGTCCAATTTGGATTGCCATCAACGATTTTAATAACGATAGCAAATCGGACATTGCCGTATCGATATTCAATAATGACTATATGAGCGTTTTTCTGGGCTACGGGAATGGTAGTGTGGGCAATGCTGTTCAATATTCAGCTGGTGATGGAACATTTCTGTTCGGTAGGACTTTTTCCGTTGGAAAAGGATCGTTACCATAATCAGTTGCTGCTGGCGACTTCAACAACGACAAACGTATGGATATTGCCGTTGTTAGTTATCAATCGAATAACATTCAGATCTTTCTAGCGAATGGCCGTGAGGCTTTTGGAGGCATGAACAAATACAAGACTGGTGGCGGATCAGATCCTCATTCGATTGCGATCAGCGATCTCAACAACAATGGTTGGATGGATGGTGTCGTCGCTAATTATAGAACAGATAGCCTTGGTATTCTATACGGATCTCGCAATGGAATACTCAATAATATGGTAACATATTCAACGGGCATCAATGCAGGACCATATTCACTAGGTGTATCTGACTTCAACAATCATAGCCGACCAGATATTACTGTCACAAATTCACTAGCTAATACCATCGCAATCTTTCTTGCTGATCAAAATGGTACTTTTGTTCTCACATCGACCTATTCAGCTGGAGATCGTTCTATTCCATACACAGTTGCTGTCACTGATCTAAACAATGATCACAAATCGGACATCATTGTTACTAACTCTGGTACAAGTAATATTCTAGTTTTGTATGGTAATGGTAATGACACATTTACAAATGAAACACCATATCCACTAGGATATGGATATCTTCCTTATTCACTAGCTGTCAATGACTTGAATCAAGATGGATGGATGGATGGATATGGTGATTGCATGTTATGAAACCTACAGTCTAGAAACATTTGTTAAAATGTGTTAATTTTATGTATATTCGTTGGTTTTCTAATATGTACTCAGTGTTTCAAATAATTAGAGCATACGAAAACAAAGAGAAGCATAGACAAATAATATAATTGGGTTTGAATGTTGTATGATTTCATTGTCTACGAACAGAATTTATCTTCGCTCTCTTTTTTTTCGACGACCGTCAGGTCAACCGAGACAATATTCATTGGTCGAGAGATTCATCTCTTTGTTATTATCCGCGCCCATCGAATATATAACTCAGCTACTTCAGCTATTCCTTTAACATAAAGTAAGTATTTGTTTTGTTTTCCTTCATTTCGATTGCTTTGATTCGATTCTCAGTCTCACAGCAATCACATTCATGTCACCAAAGGACCTTCATATCTCGGTTAATCACTAGTTGTTTTGCAGGATCGTTGTCAAAGACTTGAAAAAGTTCTCTTGATTTTCGACGGTTATACATATGCTATATGTTCCTTTGTTTTTACCGTTCAATGACGTGAAGAGGTACAAATTGAAGCAAAAACAATCTTTCGTGTACTTTTGATAATCAATACGTAAGTGAAGTTGGCAGCGGATTCGAGTTCATCCATCAGCGATTCGCACAGCAGTGCGTTCCAACCGTTCCAACCGGCGTTCCAGATGCGGCTCGACGAGCTCTATCCATGGGATGCCTTGGAATCCTCATAGCTCCAGCCAAAACCTACCAAAACCCCAAATACCGGTTTTGCAGTAGGAATTGCATGGATTTTCTCAATCATTCCACCAGCGATTCGCACAGCAGTGCGTTCCAACCGTTCCAACTAGCGTTCCAGATGCAGCTCGACGAGCTCTATCCATGGGATGCCTTGGAATCGTGTTACTCGCAACTTTATAAGAGAGAAGTA